CAATCAGCTTTAAGATTTTGCCTTCGTTTTAGATGCCAGTAAAACCATACACTAACGTTCCTGGTACGTTCCTGGTAGTGCCGAAAGGAAGCTTATTTATAGACAAAGAAGAACACAAAGCACATTGGTATCAAGCCCGATCAAAAGATTCGCTCGCAAAAAAAAAAAAAAAAAGAGAAATGTCTAACGACCCTAATGAACCACCAGCGAACATTGATTCACAAATTAAAGCATACATTGACAATGCATGCCAGACAACGGTATCAACACTTATTGACAAAGTAAAAGAACTGATAAACCAGCAGGCAGAGACCCAGAAACGATGGAATGAGCAACTACAAAACACTATCAATGATCGCTTTGGCAAGCTAGAACAAGTTGGCCTAATTGACAGTCCAAATAGCCAACCTATTGAAGAAGAACAAAGCAACCGAATGACACCAGCAATAATATGCTCAACTCCAGAAATGAAAGATGATGCAGTTCAAGGTAATTATCAATCTACTCTAACTCTCAACAACAGGATAATCAACCCAACCACGCCAGGAAATACTATGTGCATAAATAATGAATTATCAATGATGAAAAACAAAGTCCAGAAGTACCTACCAATAGACTACAACACTTAAGCAGCTTCCAATAGTGCAAGGTTTTACAAACCCACTGGCAGCCAGTATTGAAAGCAAAAGACTGTGGTGGATATCCAATTGGACTGAAGGGCAAAAAGTGATTGAGATGTAGTCTTGCAAACCAAACCTGACATCAAGGTTGTGGAAATCAATAGCACTAGGCTCTTACATCAACCTTCAGGACTTTGCTTACAAGAACATGAAAGTGAGTGCTAAGTTTAATCATGAAGAATTACCATTACAAGCAGCAGATGGAGGTTATTTAACTATTCGAAAACGACCAACTTACAGCAGATTCACTGACATATCCGAATGGTTACTAGCATTTAGAGCATACATCGAAGCTGTTCTAATAATCTATGATGAACGAAAACATGAATTAAATTATTACCAGGATCATATTAATAGTCTTTGTACCAAACACGAGTTTGCCGCAGTTGTGGCTTATGATGAAGATTGTCGATTAGCACTGGTTATGGACAGAGACACCACATTATTTGAGAGAAACATTGAAGCTGAAGGGGAGAATTTGGATGCTACGACCACTAAGAGGGCAAAATTCAACAGGCAACGGGCACCTAGATTTGATGCAACATGGTATGATGGAAGGGAAATTTGCATAAATTGGAATAGAAGAAATTGCAACGATGACAAAAAATGTGAACGCATTCATGCATGTCTGGCTTGCAAGAAGATGGGCCACCAAGAACGTAGATGTTTTATGAACAACACAGGAGCCAGTTCAAGGGCTAGATCAAATGACAATATGGAGAGTCACACATAACAACAAAATCAAAAAAAAAATTCATAAAAAAAAAAAGAGAGAAAAACCTAGCACACACCAATTAACATATACAAGTAAAAAAAAAAAAAATACATATACACAAAAGAAGTAGTAACTAATACGTCGATTAGTATTAAAAAAAAAAAAAAACATGTTATACGTATACAATTTCTTTTGAAACCATAGGCTAACAAATACAATTTGCAGACAATAGGTACAGAACAGACAACTTTAACTTTCAACATACGGCTCAGTACAAGCTATTACGACATGCAACCCATCTACTTCAGTCAGCAAATGAAACCTTAACCAGTGTTCCCCCACGTGAGATTCCTTTTACAACAGAGGAGATTCAAATATTGCTACAAATCGACTCAAGCAAATTTAATGTAGAATCAGTAATAGATGTTAAGGCATTCAGAGTATATCAGCATCCAAATCGCCTATTTATCGAATACTTAATAAAAGGAATATCAAAAGGGTTTAGATTTAATTTTTCAGGAAAGCGTACAAAAAGAGTCCAAGAAAACCTGAAGTCAATCGAATTAGACACAATGGCCTTTAGAAAGTATATCCAAGACGAAATAGAGAAAGGTCGTATGTGTGGCCCATTCTCTGAAGATCAGCCACCATGTGATTTATTTCAAGTAAACCCTTGTGGGCTCATAGAGAAAAAGGAATATCTCACCTATCGGCACCATTTGGCTCAAGCATTAATGATAGGATTGATCAAATAGAGTTTATGACAAAATACGAAAATGTATCTCATGCGATAAGATGGATTAACCAATACGGGAAAGGATGTATATTGTCAAAGGTGGATATCAAAAGATGCATACTGTATACTACCAGTACATCCAGTAGACCAAGTCTTACAGAGAATGAAGCTCGGAGATAATATATACTTTGACAAGGTATTAGCTTTGGTAACAGAGCCTCTGGAGGCATTTTTTGTAGGTTCGCAGATGTTATCACATGGATAGCAATGCAACAAGGAATTAAGTCAATCATTCATTATGTTGACGATTTCTTAATAATATCAAATACAGATGGTCAAAGAGAACTCCAGCAATTTCTGCGCATATTAAACATATTAAATGTTCCTTTTAAAGAGTCTAAACTCGAAGGCCCTAGCACATGTATTACATTTTTAGGAGTTACAATAAACACGGAAGCAATGTCTGTGTCAGTTCCAATTACAAAAAGACAAAAAATAAAAAGGCTATTAGAAGATTGGGCCACCAAGCAATGGTGTTACAAAAAAGAGCTCCAGTCTCTCTGATGTGGACGTGCCAGGTGCTTCTCCAGGGGAGACCATTTGTACAACGGTTAATAAAAGCACAAGAAGCAGCGAAAAATCCAAAATATCATATAAGAATAACCAAACCTATGGTCACAGATATTCAATGGTGGAGTAACATAATAGAAAGATGGCCTGGTACTTACTTAATGGAGGACCAAATATGGTGGCAACCAGATATATACAACCTTTACACAGACGCATCTAATATTGGTGGTGGCGCAACTTTTGAAAACTACTTTACAGCATTTAAATAGACCAACCAGGACGTCATCACCAACCATAATATCCAAGAACGGGAGCTACTGACAACCTACATAGCAATTCGAACATTCTCACCTCTGTGGACTAGAAAAAAGATGGTTATATGGACAGACAATATGGCCAATGTAGAGTCGTACTATTCCGGGTTTTGCAAAAACCCAAAGATCAATTGTATTATTGCACAAATATATAAAACCCAAATACAGAAAAATTTCTCACTACGGATAGAGTATATACCAGGAAAACACAATACAGATGCTGACCTCTTGTCACGTGGTAGACATAATGAAGAACCCTGCATCTCGATACCTTCAACCTGACATCTCTTCAGATCATGCTAACAAAATCTCTATTATTCTATCACTGCAATAGATTCATATTAGCCATATCGAACAAAGCAAGGAAACCCGGGTATGATAAATGAAATAAGGAATGTTCAACACCAAACTACGGGATACTTTAATAGGAATACACCACTTGATCAACAAGCAGCAAACCTGGAACCTCCAAAGCACAAAACCTACAAAGCAATAATTAAAAGATACCAGATATTAGCCAGCAAGCACCAGTGGAAAAATGAGGATGGAAGCGTATGGCCCATATCCAAAGACTCTTTAACCAAGTTTATCAAATTGTTAAGTAATGAGGTCTCCCCACCAACGATTACATCTTATCTATCAGCTCTCAAATTTCATTACACAAGGAATTCGTATGATTGGATGCCTGTACGGCATGATTCATTAATAAGGGAAATGCTCAAGACAATTGAGGCAAATCACAGGCACAAGCCTGTAAGACAGAAGATGCATATTACAAGGACACACTTACACGGCATAAGACGCAACTTAAATCTTGAGGATACTAATGATCTTCTTTTTTGGACAGTCGCATTAACAGCATTTTATGGAATAGCACGGCTTGGTGAGCTATTACCAGATGGGAAATCAGATGGAAACAAAGTTCCTCAGCTGAGGGCATTAAAGTTTGAGAACACCAACTCCGCAACTTTCGCAACGATCCAACTTGCAAGAACCAAAAACCACAAATCAGCAATCAGAACAACGTTACTGTAGTAATTAACCCAACTAAAGATACACTATGCCCCATCAGACCACTTAAAGCTTACATCATCCGGCGCACGAGCCCCAATTACGCACCCGGCAATGAATTATTATTTGTAAAACCTGATGGAGCATATGCCACCAAACGTTGGTTTCGCAAGAAGCTTCAATCTATCTTACCAAATGCCGATGTCTCAGGACATAGTTTCAGAGCAGGCGGCACCACAGAACTAGTCATGAGAGGAGTGCAGCCAATAATGATCCAGAAGATTGGCCGATGGAATTCAGATGCATTTTATAGATACATCCGTGCACATCCCGTTATGATTGCACAGATACTAATGAAAGCATATAATGCATAGACTTCACAGAATTACATCTTTGGAGCTGCCTTAGTCATACCGTTATATGCACAAAAAAAAAAAAAAAAAACGTGCGGGATAGCGTGACTAAGGATCAACAATAGTATCAATAAATATATATTAACGATAATAAACCAATAAATAAACAAATGACCGGGCAATCAATGTATGTGAAATAATAATAATAATAATAATAATAATAATAATAAATATAATGGCTGCAACAGTAAAACAGGCAAAAGAAAAAAAAAAAAGGCAAGTAGGCGCATAACGGTAATGAAGGTAACAGGAGAGCGAAAAATGACAGAATCATAGAACTTTGGATGACTACATGATTCTACCATTTCTCTGCTCTCTTATTTCACTATTTCTGTACTCACAGCCGGCTCGCTTCGGCGAGCGGGAAACCACCGGCTGATAATTCCTGCGGCGACTCCCAGCGCAACAACGGTTGCAAACTTCCCGGGATGTCATTGCCGCTCAGGCCAATCTCGGCCGATCACTTACTTGATAGTCTTCATGTACTAGACATCATTTCTATTGCTTCAATAATAAATTCGCCTCCGGCCTAAAATAATCGCCGGCATAGCCCAACGTAAAAATAAATGTGTAATACGATGCTTTTCGTTAATAGTCAAACTTATATATATATACTGTATAATATAGTATAAATTAAATATTTGGTCCTTCGGACTTTGAATGGTTTCCATTTACCTAGTTAATATTGAAAGTTTCAATGAATGTTGACATTTGCTTTGTTCTGGACTGTACAAACTCTATCGAAGCAGCAAAAGAGCATATATTAGCAAGTATATAAATAGCAATACTTCAAATATTGAATTCTTGGTTGGTTTCTGTGGCTATTGTGATCACTCTAATTTTAATGATTGTTTAAAAATTTTTGATTTACTAACTCTCTCGAGGAATATATAACCACTAAAGTAGCGACTATTCGTAATGATGATGAGCCAGAAGATGTCTTGGGTGCTGCGATAAATGAGATGACATGGAACAATGCCACTCGTGTTCTTATTCATATTGGTGATATGCCGCCACATGGTGTCGTTATATGTGATGATTATTCAGACGGTGATCCATATGGTCTAACTGCATAAAGTGTGTTAAAGAAAATGCAATCAAAAAACATTTTATATTACTTCGGAAAAATTACTAATTATACTGATGTCATACTTAATGTGTTTCGTGAAATAATTGGAGGTTTCCTGTATTTGATCTTATGACTACAGGAAATAATCCTGAGATATTAGTTAATAAATTTTGCAAGCCTACTAGTTCAGCCATCCTTTCTTTATTACACTACCACAACTTTAAAAAAGTATATACTCTTTGCAACAAAAAACTTCAAATCAAATCAATCCACAAGAACCTGATTGGACTTCCCTTCCAGAGAAAATTGAAAAACTTTTATATTATATTCTGCCTAAAATTTTGGCTGAAGTTAAAAATGAATATTATTTTATCTATTCAAACTTTACTGAACAAGATATTTCTTTTAAACTTGCACCGCAACCATTCTCTATCGGTGCTGAACGATATGCTTATTTCGCAATTAATACAAGCTTTGAACGAGCTAATAAATTAGTAGTAATAAAATATCACGATATTAAAATAGGCACAATAGAAAAGTATTTAGAATCAATAGAAATCACCAATGTTGCTTACTTTTTTCAACAATATTCAATATAGCAGGTCAAAAGGTTGGTGTGAACAAAAAAATTACATTTACTAATGTAAAAGTCTTATATGATAAGACAGATAATATTTACTATACTGTAGAAAATTATATCGATAATGCAAAATTTAAAAAATTTAACTGAATAGTGGTCTAATTACATAATTTAATTCTAATCTCGATGCATTTGCGCATTTATACACTGAAGAATATTTGGTAGTTTATGACTTACAAGGTGTTGAACTCGATAATGAGTTTTTATTAACAGATCCAGCTATATATTGTGTTGATTTATTAAGATTTGGAATAAAAAATTTAGAAAAGAATGGAATTCAAAAATGTTTTTTGGCAAAACATAAATACAATGATATTCGTAAGAAATTAAAAATAGGCAATGATATTTGGGAAGGACATTATTATGAAAATGGAATAGGTGTTGAAAAAGATACAAAGAAGGAATTCGAATATTATAAAAAATCTGCAGATATCGGATATTTAGATGAAATTTATAATGTTTGACGTTGTTACCAGAATGGAATTGGAACTGAAAAGTGTGAGCATGAGGCATTTAAACATTATCAAAATCTGCAGGCTTGGGATATACTGGTGGAATAGATCAATTAGGAAATTGTTATATAAAGGGAATCGGAATTAAAAAAGATGAACACAAGGCATTCATTTATTATCAAAATTATGACCGTAACGGAAATGCAATTGGAAAATATAATCTTGGACGTTGCTATGAAAATGGAATAGGTGTTGAAAAGGATTTATCGATAAATGAGGCATTCAAATATTATCAAAAATCTGCAGACATGGAACAAGCTGTTGGAGCATATAATCTTGGACGTTGTTATGAAATTATAATTAGTGATTACAGTCTTTAATTTCGCAATTTATCTCTATATAGTAAGATTGTGGTTTTATATTTCTTGCACCGTACGTACGTGCGTATTAGAGCATGTAAATTCATTAGAATAAAATTAGATAATAGGCTCACTTTGTGGCAAAATTGCTAAAAACGTTAATTTTATATTTAATTTTTGATCTTTTGTGCCTTTTGTCCTTATATATAATCTTACAACATATGCATTGTTTTATACTGTATATAATTTACTATGATTATTTAATCTTAATAAATTTAAATTTATTTATGATTTTAAAAGATACCTCATATTAAATTAATAATACAATATAATTTATTTGAGTTTAATGTTATATAAATTGAATCTTTTATTTGGATGTCATGCGAATATGGAAAATAAATTGTCTATGATAGATTTAAAATTTAATACAGTATTACCCGATAATTTCTTGGATCAGGTGCATAGTTAATTTTTTTATTTTAAGTTGGTAAATTAATGCATTAATTTATAGCATTTTTGTTTAATCAATAACTATACAGATACTGAGTGCTAAATTACTGGAGTAGTGTGACATTAATCCAGATCTAACACATTTAATTTAGTAACAACTCCTCATAACATTGAATTATTCTAAAATCTAAAATCGTATCTTGAATTATTGGATCGATGTTATCGATCGTATAATATGGACTACGTAAAATGGATATTTCTGAATTACTTCATTAAATAATTTAAATGTCCTTATGTCTAAAATTTTAAATAATACGAAATCATCCGAATATTCATGCTATCAAATATGCTCCTCAGATTGCAATTCTATCTCATAAGAATACAAAAGTATTTTTAAGTCATGATGGTGCGTCTAGCAATTATGAATCAATGTAAACCAATGTTAGTACTTCCAATAATGGGGATCAAACTGGAAACGCTAAAACATTAGAGCCTGTTGGTATAGCTTTAGTCTTTCAAGGACTGCTTAGATATTGATGATATAGTATCGAAGTTAAAGGGTTGTTGTATTAAGAAAGTTTTAAAAAGCTGATTTAATTGAAATTGTTGACAAAGCATGGAGGCGTTAACGAAAATGGTAGATAAAAATTGATAATGAACTATTATTAAGAGATGGGCGGATCATTATTAAAGAAATATATTTAAATATTTATAACGATTTTCATATAGTTGCTTTACTCTATTTTACATTATATTGCTTGCTTTATTCAAAAATTATAAAATTACTTTAAAGAAAATTTCAAACTTAAAAGAGAATTAACGAAAATGTATTACCATTTTTATAAATATGCTATAACTATATTTTTTCATCATCATAACATTTATTTGTTCATTTATTTAAAAAAATCATTCTTTATTTACTATATTAATTTTAGCATTGTGTAATCACATAAGAGTTAATACAATGCAATGACTTATTTATTCAAGTATTTGAGTATCTTTTAGGTAAATTGTGTCGAAAAAATTATTGCGCGGCATTACTTTTAGAAATTCATAATAAAATATATACTTGGAAATATTTGTTCTTATTATAAAGTAGCAAAATTTCAAGTACAACTCAACAAAAAAAGCGTAAAAATTCTCGAACTAATGAAAAAAAGAAAAACTTCTAAAAAAAATGTATACTTTATCAAAGAACACAAAATTGATATTAGGGCAATATAAAAGTTTTTAAACGTTCATAAATGCATACAAATTATTAAGTATTATAATCTTTGCGCGAAATACCTAATGAAAAGAGATACTATTACTATATACAAATTAACCGTGTGCAATTTTCCGGAGATTTTCCGAACACGTGATGATCTACAGCAGATTATCCAATTGATAATTGTGATAGCTAGAGTTTGAAACTCGATATTCGGATTTAAATCCGATTTCCTTCGGATTCAGATTAAATCGAATTTACCGAATTTGCAACACTATGTGATCAAAAATACTTTGTACCACGTATATACATTGTAAATATTACTCAAATAGATATTAATGTCAATTCCTGCAGAGAACTAAAATTCATACGGGAAGCAATATATTATAACCTATTATTGATTTATACATTCTCATGATTTCTTGTAATCTAGTTCTTTACAAGAACTAAAGTTCATATAAGAAGCAATAAATTTTATCTTTCAGGCTTTATGTCCACTATAATGTATTTGTTCTCTGAGAATACTAAAGTTCATATGGAAAGTAATGAATTAAAGCTTTACACCCTCGTAATGACTTAAAATCTTTGTGAGGGCTAAAGCCTATGTGTGAAACAATAAATTATAACTTACATTTTTAAATCTTATCTTTATGCACTTGTAATATTCCATAAAGTATTTAGTTTTTTGTTAGAGCTAAAGATTATACTAATCTATTCTCAGGAAGCAATTAATTTTGCTTTACGCCTTCACAATAGTTCTCACAGAGAACTAAGATTCATATAACATTTAAAATTAGATAATTAGTAAGGTATAAATAAATGTAATAGACATGAGAATTTGAATGAAAAAAAATGGCATCTTTATCTGCTCCTTCTCTTGACCTTGATATCAACGAACCAACTTCATTTTCAGAAGCTGAAGCATCTGCTTCTATGAATCCTATTCCTCAAATCACAAGAAAAAATGATTTAGACAAAAGTACCAAAGTCAATAGAATTAATAAAAGTCACACGTCCTACTTTTTAACAAAGACCCCAAGGATAATGATGTAGCGTATTGTAAAATATGCGTGCGAAACCTTGCTGGCACCAATAAAAACCCTATCCCTATAGTTGTAAAGGAGGCACACCTTCAAATCCTGCTAATTATTTATGTGAAAAACATGGCATAACGATCTATAATTATCATAACTATTTGGATATGAATAATGAAGTAAGAAAATACGTATGTAAAAAAAATTCAATTAGCCAAAAGAATATCAAATATCTGTTCCTCAATGTAGCAAGACTCAACAAAAAGAGCTTTCATGTTTTTAATTAAATTTATAATCAAGTTTGTAGGGCTTTTATATGGACTTGGTGCTACAGAAAAGGGAAAATTGACAAAACAAAAGATCTTTGGAAGATCAATTTTTACATTATAAATTTTATAATAAATTATAAGAAAATACAAACTTTAAAAAGCTATACTACAAAATTTTATTAATACAACTTCTTTTATGTTTTAAGTAAAAAATAATGCTAACAATATTCTAAATTGAGTTGTGTAAAAAAAAAAAAAATTGAAAATTTGTCGATTTCTCCCTTTCTATATCATCAAGCCCATATATTCTTCAAGATAAAGATTTTTGCGAATTTGTTCATAGTTTTGAGTCTGGATTTCATATACTATGAAATAAAACAGCCTAAAAATTGATTTATAAGTGTAAATAATTTACTTAATAATATAGCTATTTCAGTTTATTTAACAACTAATTTTTGGATAGCCAAAAGTAATTATGGATAAATTGGAGTAATAGCCACTTGGCTTACCTCTGATTTTACATTTTGCGAATTTCTATTAACTTGTAGTGTTCTTGATTATTCACATATTAGTAAAATCATTAGTAAGAGTTATATTATATTATTAAATAGTGGCTATTGCTACAGATAATGAGGCAAATATAGTAAAAGCTATTTATCTTCTTAATATTCTTTGCCTTTTATTGAAAGACAACCTTATACAGCTAATACTTTGTAATTATATGTACATAAAAGTCTAAAACAATGCAAGTATATATATAGATGAATTAAAAGTTTAATATTATTTTTCAAATCACCAAAACAAGCACAAAGATTAAGAGAAGTGCAATGTAATAATAATCCTGCTAAAAATAATGAAAATAACAAATTGCTAATAGGTCTCTTAGATGTCTTGCTTAATACTAGAGGTGCATGCAGAACTTGAGAAATTGGGATAGCCCATACCATAACTGAGTTATAACTAGTTACAGCTTTTTACCTTAAATTGTAGCATGCTAAAACTTATGTATATGCTGATATAATATTTATGTTATAACTTTTAATAAATATTATAACTCAATTTTATATATCATAACTTGCCGTAACTTGCCATATTGTAAATATATATAATTATTTTTTAAATGCAGCAGCAAATTTATTTATTAAAAACATATAGCAAATACTGTATATATTGATATCTATTACAATGTTTTGTCCTTTTATTGCTTATTTATTATTTCATTTATAATAACTTGTATAT